CTTTTCTGGGTTCTGCTTGCTCACATCTATTGCCCATTTTTCTTTTGGGATCTTAGAATTTTTCTCTTTGATTTTTAGAAACTTGTTTTAAAATAAGGAGTAAACTATTTGTCTATAACTTTCATTGCAAATATTTTTCCAGTGTATTGTTTGTTTCTTGACCTATTTGCATGGCGTTTTTATGACAAAGATAATTTTGTTTAAAATAGTCAATATTTTCTTTCATGGTTTCTGATTGGGGACTATATTTAGGCCTTCCCTATGCTGAGATCATAAAAAATGAATGTCCTATTTTTGCTTCATGTACTTTCATCACTCCGTATTTTTACATTTAAGTATTGAATCCACCTGGAATTTATTTCGGTGTCAAGTTTTAATAAAATTATCCCAAGCCTAATTTTTTGCAGATAGGTACCCAAGTCATTCAAAATCACTTATGAAGTAATCCATCTTGCCCAACAAATTTGAAAGCCACCTTTAACATATACTACATTCCCACATATATTTGAATTTGTTTTTGGACATTCTAATCTGCTCCATTCCTGCCACATAACAAAACCACATTGTGGTAATTATTGTGGCTTTGTGTTCTAACATTTGGTAATGCTAACGCTCTCGGGTTTCTCCCCTTTTAGGTTTTTCCCTTTTTAGATTTTTCCTGGGTGCTCATGCTTTTCATTTTTCAATAAACTTTAAAATTATTTTGATGCTTTGGGGAAAGATCTGTAGGTATTTTTATTGGTGCTATTGAATTTATAGATTAACTTAGTGAAAATGGATATATTTATGATTCTGAGTCTTCTTATCCAAAAACATACTGTGCTTTTTATCTGTTCAAGTTCCCTTTTGTGTTTCTTCAGTTTCACTTATACATTTCTTACTGTAGTTATCCTTAATTAGTTTATCTTTTTTGTTGGAATTACTACTGGGCTTCTTTCTTTCATGATATCTTCTAACTAGATGTAGTTTGCCTATAGGAAGGCAATTAAATTATTTGCCAATTGACAAAACATATAGGTTTACCTTATATCTCACTGTTTTATTTGTTCAACCTTCTTTCTTGAAACCACTACTTTCTTCCCAGTTCATTTTTTTCTTACTGAAGTACATTATTCACCAATTATTTCAAGGATGGGCTATGAATGAGTAAGAGAAAATCCCAAGTTGTTACAAGTCTGAAAATTTAATTATTTTGCCCTCAACCCTGAGTGATAGTTTGACTGGGGAGAAGAGACTAGGTTCCAAGTCTCCAAACCTGAAGAGGAGAAGGGTACACAAAACATGCTGGATGGAATAATGGCTGAATTTTTTCCAAATTTGGTGAAACTACCCACAGATGCAAGAAGCTCTTAAAAACCTCAACCATAAGAAATTTTTTTTTTTTTAATTCCCTCCTCTCCTGCCAATAACTTCTTGTGCAATTCCGCTCAATTCATTTAAAACAGCAACTTCATATTTTGAGGAAATTTGGAGAGTGCCACCTAGCCATCTGAGCTGACTAGCTAATATTTTAAGTACTCTGTAATTAATTGCCAAGCCTTATTAACACAGCTACAATTTTACTGACCATAACCAACTGGGTTGTGCAACAAGAAAGTGTTAAGGCATTCTGTTAGGGAGGCCATCGTTCTATGGGTAGGTCAAAGATTCACCAGCTCGGAAAAGTGTTCTAAACTCTGCCAACGGGGCTCAAGAAACAAGCTCGGCGTTGCAGCAAGCTCTGATAAAGGACCCTGCACAGGCGTTCTCATTCAGACCCTGGGCCTCGCCCCACAGCAGGGCCCAGGAAGCCCGGCCCCACCCCACTCCACCCAGCCCGTCCCGTCCTCGAAGCAAACAGGAACTGGGCTCAAACCCTGGTCATCGCGTGACCTTGGCCGCGTCCCGGGACTGAGGCCTCAGTTTCCTGGTCCTCTAAACCCCGAGGCGGGAGGCGGAGCAGGAAACGGGGCTTCCAGGGGAGCCCACGGCCGGGCCCGACTTCCGGGCGCCAGCGCCGGCGGCTCTGGGAGGCTCGGGGCTGCTGTGGGGTCTAAGCCGGAGACTGACCCCGCGGCCCGATCTCAACTCGACCTCGCCTTGACCCCCAGCGAGTGACTGGCCCCGGTCCCAACCCCCTCCCGGCCTCAACTAGACTTCCAGCCTAGCCCTACGCGCCCGCCCCACCACGCCTCGGTCCCAAGCTTGGCCTCGACCCCGGCCCCAGCCGGGCCT